GGGAAACCTGAGGTTAGGATATATAATTTGGTTGTTTGGTTGATTTTGAGACAGGGTTTTTCGGTGTGGCCTAGGCTAGCCTGGCTCTCAGAGTCTTCCTGCCTCAACTTCTTGAGAACTGGGACCACAGATATGTGCTGTCATGCTTGGTTTACAATTACTTTGATCCAGTACAGTGTTTAGGGCACAGTGGTACTGGTGTTGATTCAGTGAACAATAGTGTTACTGCATTTCTGCAAGTTAATGTTTCAGATATGTTCTTTCTTTCCACAGTCCGCCCTGTGAAGCTGAAGGAAGATATTCTATCCTGCACTTTTTCTGAATTGAGTTTAGGATTATGCCAGTTTATCCAAGAGGTGCGGAGACCAAATGGTGAAAAATATGACCCAGACAGTATCTTATACTTGTGCCTTGGAATTCAGCAGGTATCATTTTCAATAACTTATAAATTTGACTGTGGTTTTCATCATCTGAGATAACTTGTGAATTGTTCCAAGTTCATGTATTCTGTCATTTGTATTATCTTCAACTTTTTCCTTAGTGAATAGCTATCCCTATTTAAAAGTCTTAGCATATAGCCTTTGTAAACTAAACTGAGACTGTTGGTAAAATAATAGAAATGGGGTGGGGCATTGTGTATTTTATGGTTAAATGAGCAAAAGGGGCATAAATAGCAACTAAGGTGACTGTATCTGCACATGTAAATGTTTTATTTGCACTTTAAAGTACAGAGTAAACTAATGGGTACAAAGATAAGTTTTTCATAAGAGTGCCACAAGATGAGAATTCTAGCAGCTGGAGGCAATGCACACTACATATACTCAAGTCTACAGCAACTTTTTTTTCCTTTCTCTAATTTTTATTTAGTATCTCTTAAGCATTTCTGTCTGGCTAGGACTCATTTGATTCATGCTTCTACAATCCTAGTACTGGAGTTGGTGAAGCAGAAGGATTACAAGTTTGGGGATAGTTACATAGTCATAAATCAAAAATCATTCATCACAGTTGGAGTTCTGACAAGATTATAAAGTTACTGGGTATAGTTCATGCTCACCAAATGTGAGAGTTAAGTAAATAGTGGGTAATCATAAAATTGAGCATATGTTTATTATTACATAATAACATATTGATGTGAATTCATAAGAAGTTGAAATAAAAAATTATGCAATGGTTATTGTCTCTGGGTGGTATTAATCTTCCTGTTCTTAACCAAGTTGGGTTTTTTTTTTTTTTTTTTTTTTTTTTTTTTTTTTTTTTTTCATTGGAATAGCACACAACTTTCATTCCAGCACTTAGGAGGCAGAGGCAAGAAGATCTCTGAGTTTCAGGACAGCCAGGACTACATAGAGAGACCTGTCTCCAAAAAGAAAAAAGTACTTGTGGTCTGGAGAAATGGCTCAGCGGTTAAGAACGCAGGCTGCTCTTCCAGAGGAACTGTGTTTGATTTCTAGTACCCACATGTCTGTTACCATGTGCATGCCTTGTGCACAAGAAATTAGAAGGGGATGGGGGGTTCAGGTCAATCCCCTGGAACTAGAGTTATAAATAATTGTGAGCTGTTATTTGGGTGCTGGGAACAGAATCCATGTCTGTTTCAAGAATATTAAGTGCTCTTAATTGTTGAACCTATATCTCCAGGTCCTTGTTAATATTTTTGCTTTGTTTTGCTCTGTCTGACTGACTGACTGTCTGAGAGAGAAAGGGAGAGAGAAGTGCGTCTGTGTACATGTGTACTACCTTTTAAAGTGTTTATCATTTCCTCATGGTACAAACATTAAAATCCTCTCTTTTCCCTCTTTTTAAAAGAACATTCATTTATTCAGGGGCAAGCATGCAGTCTTGCACTTTGTAGAGACCCATCTACAGTGTGGTTCCTGGGATTGAACTCAGGTGACTGAGTTTGACAGGTAGCATCTTTACCTCCTGAGACTTCTTTCTGGCTTTTGTTTTGTTTTTTTCTTCCCATCTTTTGAAATGTACAGCACATTGCTATTATTTGTATCCCCTCCTCTGTGTCATAACACTCCAGAACATCTTGCTCTGACTGACTGCATATCCACATTTCAACAGTTTTAGATGCTTCATATAAATGAGAACATTTTGTGTTTGTCTTCCTGCACTGAGCATATTTTAGTTAGTATAATATTGGCCTAGCCTATCCATACTACTTCCTTAAAATGATAACATACCCCTTTTTAAAAAGGCTGATAATACTGCATTGTATATAGGTACCACATTTCATTCCATCTACTTATGGGCACTATATTAATTAACTTTTCTCATCACTGTGACATCATACCTGATAGTAGTGACTTCATAATTTGGTTACTATGGATGATGCTTGAATGAACCTAGAATACTAGCAATAGGCTGGAGAGAGAAGGCTCAGTCCTGAAAGTGCATGCTGCATGAGCATGAGAACCTGAGTTTGGATTCTCAGAACCCACGTAAAAAGCAATGAGGATTTAAAAAAAAAAAAAATGTGAGTATTTTGCACCATGTGTGTCCCTCGTGCCCATGGAGGCCAGAAGAAGGCATCTGATCCCCTGAACCTGGAGGTGGTTATGAACTGTCATGTGGGTGCTGAAAATTGCACCTGGGTCCTCTGTAAGAGCTTGACCACTGAGCTCTCTCTTCAGCCTCTGTGATGAGATTCTGAGAACACTCATTACATCTAGATTTGTTGCCTTAGCAGCAGGAGTCATCCCCATTTCTTTTGCACTACTATATTTAATTTGCATTATTTTAATGAGTTTACTTTTTGGCTTCCATGCCCATTTTCCCAGTTTTTGTTCTTTTCCTTGTTTTAAGAAGGGGTTTCATGTCTCTATGGCTGACCTGTAATTCATTATATAGTTGAGGTTGACATTAACTCCTCCTCCTTCTGTCTCCAATGATTATAGGCATATATTTGCCCACACCTTTAATCCCATCATTTAGGAGGCAGAGGCAATTGGATTTTTGTGGGTTTGAGGCTTGTCTGGTCTACATAGTGAGTTACAGGCCAGCCAGAGGTACGTAATGAGACCCTGTCCTCTAACCCCCCAAAAATCCTTTGAAATTCCATATGAACTATAATATTGGCTTTTTCCTTTATGCTGCCTGTCCCCATCCCCTAATACAGCCATTTTGATTTGATTGGGCTATGTTGCATGCACAAATTATTTGGAGAATATTGTTACCTGATCAAATCTCAGTCTTCTAGTTTCTTTCCATTTTTCTAGGTTTTCTATAGTTTTTACATTCAGTTGCAGCTTGTAGTTGTTTTTTGTTTTTTAACAATTTTTTTTTTAGTTGTGTGTATATGTATTCATCTAAGGATGGGTTTGTGCCTCGGAGTTTAATGTCCATGAAGGACAGAAGGGGGAATTAAAGATCTTTGGAGCATTCAATCTCTCTCTCTCTCTCTGTCTCTCTCTCATATATCCATTCTCTAGTCTAAGTATTTTATTCATTATGATATCATTTTTGAATATTTATTTTATGAGTGCTCTATCTGCTTGTATGCCTGTATGCCAGAAGAGGGCATTATATCCCACTATAGATGGCTGTGAGTCATCATGTGTTGCTGGGAATTGAACTCCAGACCTCTGGAAGAGCAGCTGATGCTGTTAAATGCTGGACTGTCTCTCCAGTCCCTCTTTATATTACTATAAATAGACATTTTTTGTTTTTTTAATTTCCTTTTTGAATTGTTTGATGATATTTCAGCGGAAAAGGGTCTGTGTTTATATCCTACTATCTGCTGAGCTTGCATGTTAGCTCTAACTACTTGTTTGTTCTAAGTGTGCATATGTGTCCTGTCATCTGCAAGTAGGATAACGTTTGACGCCATTTCTTGTGTGAATGGTTTTCATTTTTCTCTGGCATAGTGTTGCTTAGGGCTTGCAATACAGTGTTGTATAGGAGTGGCAGGCACCAGCATTCTTATCTCATTCCTTACCCAGAGTGAAGACATGTCTAAAACCATTAATTTTACATGTATTAATGTATTTAAAAGTATGTATTTGGGAAGATGAAAATATTCTACATCTCACTAGTAGTTGGCTTTGTTAGCTAAATTTAAGTAATCCTTTCAACTATGTTTTAATCTTCGGAAAATTAGTTTGTTAAAAGAAGAAAAGCAGGAGCTGTGGGATGAGCTCAGTGGTCAGTGTGCTTGTATGAACAAGGCATGGATTCAGTCCCTAACACTGTGGGGAAAAGAAAGAAAAAAATAGCTAATATCTAATAACAAAAACTAATCAGGCAAGTAAGATCATAAGCTGCCGTTTAAAAGGCCTGATTCAAATAGTACTGAAGTGTTGGGAACTAGTTATTGACTAGGAAAAATATAAATGGAAATAGTTTTCTGTAGCTTATACATAACCAGGGATATAAGAAGTTGTAATGGATGTGAGAAATACCTTAAAAATAGTCTGTGTTCAGGCTAGAGATGGCTCAGCAAGTCTTCCTGCTGTCTCAGAGGGCCTGGCCGGTTCCCCACATTTATATCAGGTAGTTTACAACCACCTATGACCCCCAGCTCTAGGGGAAGCAGACCCACTTTTGCTTTGTGTGGACACTTGCACTCACATGTGCACATATGCACCCAAACACAAATAAAAATAAGTCCTTAAAGAGCTGAATGCTAGCTACCTTGTATTCTTCGATAATCCTTTATTATACTCTTAATTGGTATCTTAGCTACACCCTCAGTACCTTTTTAACTGTTATCCAAGCATTTCTTTAATTCTTTTGTTTTTCTATTTTTTAAATTTAAATTAGAAACAAGCTTGTTTTACATGCCAATCCTAGTTCCCTGTCCCTCCCCTCCTCCCCAGCCCAGCCCCACTAACCCCCTATCCCATTCCCTTTCTGCTTCCCAGGGAAGGTGAGGCCTTCCAAGGGGATCTCCAAAGTCTGTCATATCATTTGGAGCAGGGCCTAGGACCTCGCCCGTGTGTCTAGGCTGAGAGGAGTATCCCTCTATGTGGAATGGGCTCCCAAAGTGTCCCGCGAGATAGTCTCGCCAGCAAGAACCACACAGGACATTCGGATCCTTCTGCAGTAAAGCTTTAATGCATCTTGAGAGGAGAGCATAAGCTTACCAGAGCGGAGACCCCGAGCCAAGAATCCCGTCCCCTAATAAAGGCTGGCAGCCGCTGCCCGGGACGTGTCACCCTATGATTGGCTTTAGCTCATCAGGCCATATGACGCCACGGAATAGGCAGAGATCAAGGAACGGAAAATTACCCAGCGCCTGTGCAATAATCTTGTTTACATTCAGTGCCTGCAGGCGCCATCATTGTAATGGAGAATGCAGGGACGGCTCCCTACACCAAAGTCCATTCATATACTAGGTATAAATACTGGTCCACTACCAGAAGTCCCAAAGATTGCCAAGGCCTCCTCACTGACACTCACATTTAGGGGTCTGGACCAGTCCTATGCCATTTCTTTATTTCTTATTTAATGATATTAATAGTAGACCCTTTCAGTCTGGGCTTACTATCCCAGCACTGGGAGGCAGGTAGAATTCTGTGAGTTCTCACTGTTGTCTGCATAGCGAGTTATAGAATAGCCAAGGCTATATAGAAAGACCTTGTTCTCCCCCTTCCCCCCCCCAAAAAAAAACCTTTCAAAGAGTTTAGAGCTGAGTTGGAGGGTTTTATTTTATGTTTATGAGGAGTTTTTGTTTTGTTTTTGCTTGTATGAATGATTGTGTACCATATGCATGTAGTATGTCCATGGGGGGGGTAGACAGGAGTGTTGGATACTCTGGAACTAGAGTTGACTTGTTAACTACCATGTGGGTACCAGACCCTCTGCAAGAGTAGCCAGCCATCTTTCTAGACTCCCACCCCACCATGAGGTGCCTCCCCCCCAACCCCCTGTTTTTTAAAATGTAGTGGGTACTTTGCCTACATAGATATCTATGCACTGTGTGCATGTGTGGTGCCCAGGGAAGACAGAACAGGTGTCTGATCCCTGGAACTGGAGGTACAGACAGTTTGATTCACTATGTGGGTGCTGGGAATTAAACCTGGGTCCTCTGGAAGAACGGCCAATGCTCTTAACTGCTGAGCTGTCTCTCCAGCCTGAAAGTTTGCTCATTTATATGTATTTATTTTATATATGTATGTGTGCACCTGAGTGTATGTGCTCTCTGTTTGCGCATGAGCCCACAGAGGTCAGAAGAAGACATTGGATTGCCTGGAACTCAAGTTAGAGATGATTGTGAACTGCTATGTGGTTCTAGGAACAGAATCTGGGTCCACTGCAAGAGCAGTAAGTGATCTTATCTGCTGCTCTGGACTCCTGCTTTTAGTATTTATTCTGTACCACCCACACCACTGTTATAAAAAGAAGTTTACTTCTCCAAGGACAATGGCCAGTTTTTATGTAGAGAGCCTTGGACTTGAACTCTGGTATTTTAACTTACAGTAAAGTCCTTAAAAGCTGCTCAGGATGGACAGCATTACAAAGGATTCCATTAAGGGTGAAACCATGTCTTACAATGCTTTCTACTCTTGATATTTTTTTTATACTACTGTGTGTTACTTCTTTTATCTTTTAGTACCTGTTTGAAAATGGTAGAATAGATAACATTTTTACGGAGCCCTATTCCAGATTTATGATTGAACTTACCAAACTCTTGAAAATATGGGAGCCTACGATACTTCCTAATGGTAAGGAGATTGTTTTGAATTATTTTTATGATATGCTTTCATAAATTGCTTTTTAAAAATTTTTATATATTGTAATATAATCTGTCCTGATGTAATACAGTTGAGTTTTTGAGAAGAAAGTCTTGGATTTATTGTTGAACGTTTTAGTAAAATACACTCTGAACAGTTAATGTGTTAAACTAACATACAGTGTATATAGAGGTAGTAACAACTAAAAAATTTACATTCAGTTATACTTAAGTTTCTAGAAGGGTTTTGTCTGGTAGTGTCAGTAAAGCTGCATGCTAGTTGCCACTGATTTACCCATGCACAGATGACCTTTCTCAGTGTGCGCTGAACATTTGTGCTTGTTCTTATCCTTGAATTCTTTAGCCCGGTGTCATTCGAGAAGTTAGTATATAACCAGGATTGTGTCCTTGATGTGGCTCTGTAGCACCATTGAAACATTCTGAGCCACATGGTGGTTTGATGTACTTAACAGAGAGGAGGCTTAAAACATAGATTTGGAAGTAGTAAAGTCATGTTCATGGATGATCTCCCAAGAATGGAATACAGAAGCAATAGTAGAGAGGATTGAGGAGAGAGTATTGGGTTAGACCTGAATTTAAGGGGCATGGAGAACCAGGCACATGGAACAGTACAGTTCCTTAAGACCTTGCTTCTCATACGGATTCTAGTAAGTCCAAGGAGCATGGCTGTTAATGCCAGTTAAGAATGAGAGCGAGGTCAGTCAGTGAGTATTCCTCAGTGACTGTGGCTAAATACATGGAACTGCTTGATGTTCTGGGCAGGAGCTGGTTAACTTTCCATGGATCAGATCTGGCCTGTGTCCTTGTTCTATAGTATGAGCCAAAAGTATTTTGTGTTTTTTAATGGTTGCAAACTTTAAAGAAAATATCCTGTGATAGAGAAATTACATAAAATTGTAATATACCTATAAATAAAAACTGTCTATGGCTCTTTGCTTTCTGCCACAAAAAGTTGTTCAGAACAAATGGCCTCCTCATGAAAGGTAACCGCTGTTTTCAGGAAAGTGCTTGTATCTGTCTGATTGGAGTCCTCTGCCTTATTTTTCCTGGTGCTGCTTCTCTCTGCCTGTATAAAGAAGAGGTGGGAGAGAGCAATGTTCAGTCGTTCTCTTTCTGTGTTCCTTCCTTCTGTGGGATTTGAGAGATCACATAATGCTTTGTTCTTCCCACCCTGTCTAGGTTACATGTTCTCTCGAATTGAAGAAGAGCATTTGTGGGAGTGCAAACAGCTGGGAGCTTACTCGCCAATTGTCCTGTTAAATACCCTCCTTTTTTTCAATACCAAATACTTCCAACTAAAGAATGTTACTGAGCATTTGAAGCTTTCCTTTGCCCATGTGATGAGACGGACCAGGACTCTGAAATACAGCACCAAGATGACATATCTGAGATTCTTCCCGCCTTTACAGAAGCAAGAGTCAGAGCCAGGTGTGTTGCTGGTAGATGAGGTTTCTGTTTGCAAGGCTAAGACAGTTATCACAGAGGGTCAGGAGTTCGTTGTAGACATGGAGAACACACTGCAACTTGCTTTTAATGTTTGAAAAGTCTCTGTTTTCAAGTTAGGTTAAAAGCTCTTAAAATGAGAGGACTCTGCCTCAAGACTTTTATTGTCTTTAAGTTAGAAATTTTGATTTAACTGGGTAGAGCCCCCTGATTTAACTGGGTTGATCCCAAATAGCCTACATGTAAAACTTACCAGGAATTTCCATATGTAACCATGGTGATGAGGTCACTGACTTACAAGTACTAGTCAGTAATTGTCAGTTAAATGAAACTTGTTTAGCTTTTGGGCTTAGCTTGTTGGGCTTTTGCTTTTGACTGGAGTATCCTGTTTGAATTAGCATCTTTTATAATTTATTTTTGGTGTTTTGCCTGCATGAATGTCTGTATATGAGGTTGTTGGAGCCCTTGGAACAGGAGTTAGAGACAGTTGTGAGCTGCCACGTGGGTGCTGGGAATCAAACTGGGGTCCTCTGGAAGAGCAGTCAGTTCTCTTAACTGCTGAGCCTTCTCTCCAGCCCTGAATTAGCATCTTTTAATCAGTTCTAAAATTCTAAAGGAACTTAGAAGCTGCCCTAAAGCAGACTGCTTTTATCTATGGTAGGCTTAGGTCAGCAATGACATTTTCAGTAAGTATATTATGGTCATGTGTTTCAAAAAATCTTTAATGTCTGAAAAATAATGATGCTATTGTAGAACTAGATATTAAACTTTCTGTGTTTGATTTTGTTTTTTTGAGCCTTGTCTTACTATGTAATAGCTTAGGCTATCCTTGACCTCATAATCTTCTTGAATCAGCCTTCCTGAGTGTTGGCGTTATAGCTATTAGCCATCATGCTCATATATTACAAATATACACAAAGAAATTTCTTAAATTTTACCAATATCAAGTTCTCCAAATTGAGATACAACTTTTAAGAATAAAGTACATACTTGAAATGTGAAACATTAAATTTTCTGAACCTAAAATCTATTAATAGTGTTTTGTGCATCCTATCCATATTACCAAGTTTTGTTTTGTTTTTGCTTTTTGAGAAAGCATCTCACATTGTATCCCAGGCTGGCCTAGAACTCAGTTGTATTTCCTAAGCTGGCCTCAGTCCTGAAGCAACACACTTTTCTCAGCTTCCTAAGAACTGGGATTTCAGCAATCTTTTTCCTCCTGATGGTCTGCTTTGTACTTGTAGGTGATAATAGTTGAGTAAGTGAGAGGTAGTCAGTTAATATTGCTTCTTTTGTTTGGGTGTTGATAATAAGTTCAACTTTTTTTTTTTTAAATCTTAACCTTCATTGAAGGTTTATTTATTTATTATGTATACAGTGTTCTGCCTGCATGTATTCCTACAGGTCAGAAGAGGGCACCAGATCTCATTACAGATGGTTGTGAGCCACCATGTGGTTACTGGGAATTGAACTCAGGGCCTCTAGAAGAGCAGCCAGTGCTCTTAACCTCTGAGCCATCTCTCCAGCCCTAAGTTCAACTCTTTTACATAACTTACAAGGCATTTCTCTGTAGGAAGCTAAAGTGAATTTGTTTTAAAACAATAATACAGGTAGCTGGAGAGAAAGAATCCTAAACCGTTTGTCAAGAGTGATTATGAAAATTGGCTGGGGAGGGGCCTTGAGGGATGGCTCAGTGGCTTAGAGCAATTGATCCTGTAGTTGAACTTCCCTTGGGGTCACCAGCTTACAAATGATGACACGGAAACATTATCAATTAAGAAAGCTTGGCCCTACCTTAGGTTCATTCCCAACTAATTCTTATAATAAGTTAACTCATATTTTTTATCTTCGTTCTTTTACATGGCTTGGTTACCTTTAGTCTGTACTGCCCATCCTGCTGTATTCCGCATCTGGCTGGCTTTTCTGCCTTTCTTATTCTCCAGGTCCTCTCTGCCCAGAAGTCCCATTTAACCTCTTCCTACCTACCTAATGGCCATTCAGCTCTTTATTAAACTAGTCACAGTGACACATCTTCACACAGTGTAAAGGAATATTCCACAACATTTCTTCCCTTTTTTTCAAAATAAAAATAAAATGTTTTAACTCTAACGTAATACAACCATATGCAGTAAGGATAGTTATCAGGTAAGAACTATATTTACAATGTTCGCTCCATTTGTATTTGGTATATTCAGAGAAAATATTCTATTATTGATCCTATCTTGATGAGTCCAAAGTTCTATACCTAATTTACCTTCTATCATTACTAAGGAAAACTGTAATTGTCTAGTCTTCAACTCCATCAAAGATCCCAGAAGATTATAACATTACCTAAGTGAACAGGAAGTGCCGAGCAAGCAACTTCCAAAACTTAAGAAACAGCAGAGACATTTGGCTGCCTGGACAGTCACCCCAAACTTCCTTTGTAATGTTGGGGTATCCATCTTCAGCCTATGGGCCTAAAATACCTTAGACTTAACATGAAGCAGGAAGTTTGAAGGACTGCCCTACCTTGTTTTGACAAGTTCAGCAGTTGCCTTATTTTGTGTCCTGCTTGTCTAATTTGGACAACACACTGTTAGCAGTTGAGTCAAGGTCAGTTTCTTGCCCAAATGGCTAGCTTTTGCCATAAAGAAAGCAAACTCTATATGAAGGTTCTTCAGTGCCCATCATTTACTTTTTGAAGTAAATTGGCACAGTCAGAAGCAGACATGTCTCACTGTCATGAAAAGCCTCAGATTATTAATATATTTTAAATGCCAGATTCTGTAGAACTTTGAAGTGTTTGAAGACCACCTATCTAAAATACCTGTTTGACCTTGAAAACATAACATGACTGCAGGTTTGATTTTTTTTTATCCTAAATAGTTTGTAATAATAACTTTCAAGGACTAGAAATTTACATTATATTGGTTTTTTTCTTAAATTTTTTTATTTTTATTTATTTTTAATTATTTTATTTTATTATGTACACAACATTCTGCTTCCATGTATATCGGCACACCAGTAGAGGGCACCAGATCTCATTACGGGTGGTTGTGAGCCACCATGTGGTTGCTGGGAATTGAACTCGGGACCTCTGGAAGAGCAGCCGGCACTCTTAACCTCTGAGCCATCTGTCCAGCCCTACATTATATTGTTAAATGAACTGCACAGATACAATACCTTAGTAGGAATAGAAATATATGTACAGTATGTTTTAACAAAAATAACCTTAAATTTGTATCAGTATACAAAATTCCATACTAATCAAAATATATGAGACTAGTGGTTTTTCAAACACCCTTTTATCCCATCATTTCTGTACTGTGTCCCCTTTTTCATTTTAGGAAGAGATCCTTGAATCTAATTTCCTTTTTTTAGCCTTTTCCCTGATCGTGACCAATAACAATTTTCAACCAACCCCCGTAAATGATGACAAACATCCATAACCCATCAAATGACTAAAAACCACCCACCCTACCTCTTGGGAATGTGAGCATCATGGTTTTTATACTGCTTCCTGCTGTCTGTGGGCGAAGGCATCTTTAGGGAACCTGAGAAAATTGAGATAATCATCAAGTCCTGGGAGAAACAGCCATGGCATTTGTTGTCCAGCCTCTGTGCAGTGGGAAAGCACAAGGCTTATCTGCAGTCCTGGCTATAATAGTCTGTGAGGCTGGACCATCTCAACCACCAGCCTTGAAGCTGTTCTGGATGTAGAACTCTGACAAAACTCCCAACAGAGGCAGTTTGAGAGGTTGTATCACCTGGGCCACCCATTTTCATTGGTGTGTGTTTCCTTTGCTCTGAAAACACACAAACTTTCAAAGGTAACATACATATTTTCGTTAACACATGTATGGACTGTGCATTGTACATAAGCCAGCCGAAGATGGTTTTTTTTTTATTTATGTCTGAACAGGTAAAATATACAGTACCTGTCTTTAGTTTTATTTCTTTGTCTGTAGCCAGGATTTTCGGGGTGGGGTAGGGGTAGGGGTAGGGGTGTCTTCTCTGATCAAACCTAATCTCTGTCAATCTTGATCTATGGAAACAAAAGCATAACCTCTTCCCCAAAGCAATATATTTTCTTACTTCCATTTTAAAGTTAAATCATTACTAAAGTACCTGACTGTCTGTGCTTACAGTTGTTTGTAACTCGGCTTCCAGGGGGTCTGGCACCGTCTTCTGACCTCTGGGCACTGCATGCAGGTAGTGCACAGAAATACATGCAAGCAGAACACCCCCACACATGAAGTAAAAATAAAGGAGTCTTCAAAACAAGCAGAACACCCACACATTAAATAAAAACCAAGGAATCTTCAAAAAGTGGGTTGGGGCTGGGCGTGGTTGTGGTGATGTCTTTCTTGTACAAATAAAGCTTCTCTCTCATTTCTCAGCATTTCCCTCTATATCTGACTCCGGCTTTTATTATCTAGACCAATTATAACCCTTTTACATGTGATGCATGCTTTTAATCCCTGCATTCAGAGGCAGGTGGATCTCTAACCCTATCTACACACACACACACACACACACACACAGAGAGAGAGAGAGAGAGAGAGAGAGAAATAAAAAGAAAATGGGTTGGGGTTATGGCTCAGTGTATACATTGTCTGATGTGCATGCATGAGAATCAGAGTTAAGATCCCTAGCACCATGGTAAAACCAGAAATGACAATGTATGTCTGTTACCCCAGTACTTAGGGGACAGAGACAGGTGGATCCCTGAAGTTCTCTGGACAGTCAGTGTAGCATATGACTGAGCTGAAGGTCAGTAAGAAAGCCTGTCTCAAAAAATAAAATGTAGGTCCAGCATGGCTCAGCAAGTGAAAATGGTTGTTGCTTAACCCTGATTACCTAAATTTGATTTACCATGAAAGGTAAAGGGGGGGAATCAGCTCCGCAGAGTTGTCTTCTGACCTCCATGTGTGTGTATAGTGTTGTGCATGTACTCAAACACACACGAGTGGCTTGGGCTCGAGTCCACCTAGTAGAGCTTTGTTTAGACTGAATGGATGGATAAGCAGCAGCCTCCTTCCTATGTCTGTACCCTGTGTTGTCTGAGAGCACAGCCCTACCAAGTCCTGTCCTATCAGATGCTGACTTCGCCGATATTTTCTTTTCCTAAGATGTTATTTCTTAGAATACACAAGTAGAAGGAACTTGAGCAAGAACTCAGTCAGTGCTAGTGCCCCAGAGGGGAAATATGTCCATTAGAAAGAGGACTACTCTTCCTAATCATTCTGGAGGAGAAACATGTATGGAACCCCTTTTTTGTCTTATTTTCTACTTTGGTTTATGAACCTTGTACCTACTCCAGTCTACTAATAAAGCAATGTCCAAAAGGAAGACATACCCCCAGCACTGTCCCTTCTGCCAGGGTCTCTTCTTTCTTAAACGGGGAACATATGTGTTACAGGATAAGCATAGTGTTTAGGCTCCCTGGCACATGGGAGCTCAGTTAGTATTGTTAAATAAATGAAAAAAGGCAGTGACAGGGTCTCTGGTTGTGCAGCAGAGATCACTAGGTGTGTTGACATTTCTTTTACACAAACACTTGATTGATTATTTATTTATTTATTTATTTATTTATTTATTTATTTATTTATTTATTTATTTTTTGTCTCAAGATAAACTAACTATTGGCAAGAGGAAACGGAATGAAGATGATGAGGCTCCGGTGGGTGTGGAGATGGCAGAGAATACCGACAACCCACTGAGATGTCCCGTTCGGCTTTATGAGTTTTACTTGTCAAAATGGTAAGGGGTCCTTCTGGTCTCGGAGTACAAGGCATTCTTCATCCAGCACAGTTTGCACTTCAAGTTCTTGGGAACTAGAAGCACAATTGGCCTGTGACACTGGGTCTGCCTCTGATTTCCTATTTTCTCCATCCTTATGTAAGTTTTTCTCCCAAAATTTCTTTAAAAAACAAAAATCACATCTCATTTGATTTTTTGCAGTGCTGTGGAGCCTAGTCTGTAGTGGTTTATTTTTATGTAGGAAACAAGTTCTGAGGTTTGGTTTTGCTAAACCTATAAGGGGGGAGGCTTTAAAGAAATTCAGCCCTATATTTTAAAAAGCTGGTGTCTGACCAGGCCAATCCCCATGGAAAGCATGCTCTCTTGCTTAGCCATACTCAGTTCAGAGTGGAAAGTTTAAAATTAAAGAATCTCTGACTAGAATATGTGACACATACTAAGAGAACTTTTATAATGACATCAAGTGATCTCAGGATTCATTTTCATGAACTGACATGCTCTGCTCCTAGCAACATTTGAACTGAAGTACGTGATTTATGCTGTGGCTTTTTTTTCCTCCCTAGGCAGGGTTTCATGTACCCCAAGCTGGCCTCAAACTGGATTTATACTAAGGATGACTTTGAATTTCCTAATCTTACCCCTCCACCTTTAAATCCTGGGACTACAGGTGTCTGCCACCACACCCGGCTGTGCTTTCTCATTATTAAAGTCTACCCACTGCCACTTCAGTTATAGGTTGCTCCTGATAGGAGAATGCCTGTATCCCTATCTACCTACTCTTCTGGTTTTGCTGTTACTTAGGAAGTGAGTCATGTTGGAGAAGCTTAGAAACACTATGTAAGAAAGAATGGTGTGTATTTTCAGTGTTCTGATCTCAGCCTCCCTTTTTCTCTTTTGTCTTGTTTGTCCCCTCCTGTGGATAGTTCTGAAAGTGTGAAGCAGAGGAATGATGTGTTCTACCTTCAGCCTGAGCGCTCCTGTGTTCCTAATAGTCCCATGTGGTACTCCACATTCCCGATAGACCCTGGAACCCTGGACACCATGTTGACACGCATTCTCATGGTGAGAGAGGTACATGAAGAACTTGCCAAAGCCAAATCTGAAGACTCTGATATTGAATTATCAGATTAAGATGGAAGTAAGGTTTCTATTTCCATGAGCATTGGTATGCACCAAGCTGTGAATGCACTCAGCTGTCGGGAAGATGTGTAAATCCAAGTCCTCTTGACTTGCTTGTAAGACATGAAGAACAGGCCGCTCCTGAGCAACAGTGTGGCTGTAAATGAAACCCGAGGGGAGGAATGTGAGTGACTTGGCAGGGAGAGTCCGTAGACATGGTCAGATGACTAACCAGTTTCTGAGTGGTGCATAATCTTATTTTGTTTGGGAATAAGAAATTATGGAATATTTTTAAGGAAAACTGTTGTATAAAATTCTACCATAGTAACCTTAGTTAGAAAGGGGTAGCTTTGGAGTGAGACCCTGGCTATTTGAGCACGATGTCCATGAAAGTCAGGAAAGAAATCAGTACAGAGCTGAGAGTGACATCAGATGAGGACACTGGGACTCAGCCTTGAAGATCCAATAAAAATACTCATGTTTTTTGTAAAAAGATAGTGGTCTTGATTGATTTATACTGCCAACCCACTTATGTGAAGGATAGAAGCCTTTGGTACTTTGTCTGGAGGCCCCTCACATCAGGGGAAATGCCCTTCACTGCTGTTGTTAGTGTGCCCCTTTTCGTGTAGGGTCTTACCTTCTCAGCTGTGGGTGATTGAAGGCAAAGGGATAATGTTCCACAAGCTAATTATGTACCCAGAAAACCTGTGGAGCACATTAGACCCTAGGTGTCCTGAACTGTTTGCAGAAAGCCCACTTCTTGGGTGCAGGCCTTTGTTGCTGCTGTGTCAGCCCCAGCTGTGCTGCACAGATGGAGAGGCACTCCTTTTGTTTCCAGTTTTTCCCCAATGGCAGCTTTTCTTCCATTGTGTCACTTTCCTGTTCCCGAGTGACTCTTCCTGTCCTTTTGCACCAGTTTCTGGAGGCCCTTGTCATTTCAAACAGAATAATCTGTTTCCACAGTTGTGACAAACGTGGGTGATCCCACAAAGACACAGTATTATGCAGCTATCTGAATTGTGGTAGGGAAGGCTTCCATGTAAGCATTTGGAAGTTGACCTTATTGCCCCAAGGAACTTGAAAGTTAGGGATTTGGGATTAGAGTACAAGATGATTTACATATTCATAAGAAGGTCTTTCTCTTTTTTTTTTTGTTTTTTTTTGTTTTCGATTTTTGTTTTTCGAGACAGGGTTTCTCTGTGGCTTTGGAGGCTGTCCTGGAACTAGCTCTTTAGACCAAGCTGGTCTCGAACTCACAGAGATCCGCCTGTATCTGCCTCCTGAGTGCTGGGATTAAAGGCGTGTGCCACCACCGCCCGGCTAAGAAGGTCTTAACAGCATTATTCCAGATTCTAGCTGTCTTAGTTGTATGAGGATTGCAAGGCATAGATGTGTGTGTCATTATCACACTGACTCCCTCTTCTCCAGTCTCAGTTTCTTCCCTACAAAAATTGAGTCAAGCTTTTAATAATGTTGGCTAATTACTGAGCTTCTTTAATTGAAGTTAATTTGAGCTTACAGCAGAACTGAGAGAAGTCATAAGCTTCTTCCAAAGTATCACCTTGAAAGACTTCATTGTGTCCCATATTTTAGGTGGGGATAGCAAGTTTTATTTTGTTTTTTAAACAAATAAGTCATTTAAATACAACAGAATTTTAAATGGGCCTTTTGACATTGTATACTTGGTGGTTCTGTCCTCTGCCTGTAACGAATCTCCCTTTTGTTACTAAGAACTGTGTGAAAGAAGTAAATCTGCCCCAGTCTGTATGGTTAAGTTCATCTGTGTTTGTCATTTTTGATGGGGAACTGCTTCCTTCCAGACCTCCTTTGATTGAACGGAAAGCAGTTGGCCTGTCTAATAAGTCACCAATAAACCATCCAGAAACACCAGGTGTCCAGTCCTGCTGTATCAGTTATGATTTGTGTAAACACTAACATTTCGAATCTATAGTTGTATGAGAAACAAATACTGTTAGCTTAGTAGATAAATTGTTATAAAATACAAGAAAGAAAAAAATGTATCTTTTAAGAGAATCACTACCCAGATAAATGACTGTATCAAGGCCTCAGCTGCATGTTAGTGCAGGGGCCTTCAGACCCCTAAACTAATTTTAAAACTGGTTGATCATCAGTCATTCCTCATAAATGTAGCTGTTTGTTGTGTCAAATTACTTTTTATTTTGTTAAAATTGTGTAAAGTCACACTCCCCACCCTCAGGAGGGTGAGAAAAAGCATCAGCAAACAGAACCTGAGCTTGTCTGTCCTGCTGTTCCTTGGTCTTTAACTGTCTTTGGATTTTCCCTTTGCAGGAACCACAGAACTATTCCCATAGAATAAAATAGTATATTTGTATTCGATGGGTGAGTTCTTTTTCTTTGTGGCTTTAAAGAAATTTAAATATATTTTTTATTTAATCTTACTGGTATGATCCAAGATATGTAAAATTACCCTCCTCCCCCACAAAAAAAGAAAGGTAGTTTTCAGAAAAGTTCCTTGGTTTTTATTCAGTCCACTTAATCTATAGCTTCACTGCAGTCTTCCTGTGGCTTCCTTTCTGTCAATACTTGGTTCCATTTTTTTGGTGATTTTTAACATATTAAAAATCCCAACAATTAGAAATACCAAGTGACATGCATGCCTCCTTTCTAGCAGCTCTATTCAAGACCTGAGTGTTTGAGATGGCAGAGTCTGATTTTGGGCTTATTCTCATGTTCGAATGGGGATCTCATTGAGAATGTGAGAATAAAGAGTGCTTTTTCTTAGTCCCTAGAGGTGCCTAGGCATTCCACTAAATTCTACGTAGACCATTTGTATAGGCCCTATGACATTCCTATGTTTATAAAATTCTTTTCCCCCAAAATGGAGTGCAAAATAGGTTTCTGTAAATGAATTCCAGTTTTTCTATGTGAATACAAAGGTCCTTCCTTTATAGTGGCCATTTGAAAACTCAGGAATTTGTGAATGAAATACCAGTGCTCCCAAACTCTTCTATATGAATATTGTCCATTGTGATACTTTGTCACCATTTACCCATTGTGACATTTTTATTGTGTGTCATTGTAACTTATTGGGAGAGTTGAGGGTTGGCTTTGGGGACTTTCTGCTTGCTGTCTCTGTAACCCTAAGTAAATGGAAAACCTCTGTTCAGTTTTCTCCTCTGTGAAGTGAAACAGTAACAACTTTTTTAGTTGTTGGCCCTTAGTGGTGGTAGGCTTTCAAATGTAAAATGGCTCTTAACACCTTACCCGTCTCATATGTGTGCACACTTGCTTGAATTGCTTCTTTTCTTCTGTACGTACCATGTGGATTCGGGAAATTGAACTCCAGTTTTCAGGCTTGGGGGCAAATGCCTTTATCTGTTGAACTGTCTTGTTAGCCCTTCTTTATTTTTGTTTTTGTTTTTACCTTGTGTGTGTACACATTACACATGGAATAGCATGCATGTGACAGTAAGAGGACAATTTGAAGGACTCAGTTCCCCCGTTACCTTGTGTGTTCTGTGGAGAAATCAAGTGCTCAGCGAACGAGCCTTTACCCACAGAGTCATCTCTGGCCCCAGAGGTAGATAGGTAGGTATACATGTGTTTTTGTGTCCGAGTGCCATGATGCACATCTGGGCGTTAGAGGATAACTTGGTGGAGTCAGTTCTCTCCTCCAACGTGTATGTCTCAAGATAGAACTCAAGTCATTGGGCATGCTGTAAGTACCTTTACCCATTAAGCTATCTTTCTGGCCCCAGACTTAAAAATTTATAATATATACAAATCTCTTAGTTTCAAATACATGTGAGTCCTTAATAAAAACCTGGAGTCAGGGGGTGAAAGCTGAAATATCAGAGAAGCAGAGCGGCCAGCCACTAGAGTTCTTACCTCTACCAGTGCTCAGACCAAAGGGGGTGATCCTGTCCTCACACTGCATCCTGAGACTGACTGCTCCTCAGACTGCATCTGTTCCTAGGAATCCTCAGACTGCCTTGAGCTTTTGTCTCCTCCCACCTTATATTCCTCTGTCTAGCCATGTCACCTCCCAAGTGCTGGAATCACCTTTGTGTGAGCTCTGTTTCTCTTCTAGACAGATTCAATCTCTTGCGAGTGCTGGGATTAAAGGTGTGTGCCACCACTGCCTGGCCTCTATGTCTTAGTGTTGCACTCTGATCCTCAGACAAGCTTTGTTACAGCATGAACAAAATATCACCATATTTACATTCGACATTGTGGCTCCTGCAAAATATTGTAATCTGCATCTCAAAATCAAGTATCCAGTATGACTTGTGCTGTGGTAAAAGCAGCAATAGACAGTAAAGTGTCTTCAGTCAGCTCAGCTATCCATTGCCCAGTTTCTGCTTCAGTGGGCTGTCTGCCTCCCCAGTACTCTTCCCCATGTCTCCACTCAGGCAGGTGTCTTAGCATAATGAAGCAAGTGGCAGTGAGGTAAGCAAGAGTCTGAACCTTTGTGTCTGCACACTTATGTTTGCTCTAAGTGCTGCCAGTAGAACCGATGCTGTTGGTTTCTCATGCTCTACTTTTCTGTGGCTATAATAAGACACTGTGACCAAGGCAAATTATAGAAGAGTTTATTGGGGCTTATAGTTTCAGAGGGTGAGTCCATGACCATCACTAGTGAAGAGCCTGCAGCATGGCTCTGAAGCAGCTCAGAGCTCACATCTGACCCACAAGCTTGAAGCAGAGAGAGAGACTGTGAGTAGTGTGAGCCTTTGAAACCTCAAAACCCACCCCAGTGACACACTTCCTCCTACAAGGCCACACTTCCTAATCCATCCCAAACAGTTCTACCAACGGGGGAGCAAGTATTTAAATCAGTTAAGTCTATGGGAACATTCTCATTTAAACCTTCACACACTAAACTGCTTCAGGGGACTTTGCTTCTTCTTTTTTTTTTTTTTTTTTTTTTTTTTTTTTTTTTTTTTTTGTTGTTGTTTTGTTTTGTTTTTCCAGACAGGGTCTCTCTGTGTAGCTTTGGATTCTATCCTGGCATTCTCATTGTAAACTGTTAGACCCCCAGGAAAACTCAGGCCTCCGGGGTCCCAGCCCAGGACCACAGTCACCCCAATCACCAGGCAGATTTGAAAACTTGCAAACTGTATGAGGCTTTATTGTTGTTTAACGAGCTAACCCCATGTTAGCTCAGGTCTTTCACCCACCCGCCATGGCGGAGGGCTAGCAAAGACAGCTCCAACCGGCTGCAGAGAGATCTTGTAGGGCAGCGTAAGGGGAGTGTTTAGGGTTACGCAGAGACTCAGGATTGGTGTGCCTCCAGGCTTGGGGGACTTGCCCTGTGTTGATTGCCAATTGGTTGTTATGGCCCATAGGCCCTCCCAGGGTGGTTGCTATGCTTTGCGCATCATTGCTGTGCGCTTGTCTGTAAAGCACACCCAGAGCCAGAGCCGTAAAGCATAGCTCCACCAGGTAATTTCTGATTGGTTCCTTGCCACGAGGCAGGGATCTGACTTTCTAGTGACTAGGACAAGGTCAGACAAGCTGTTATGGCTGCCGAAATGTGGAGCTGGTCCCTTCAGACCAGGCTGGCCTTGAACTCATGGAGATCCACCTGCCTCTGTCTCCCGAGTGCTGGTTCAAAGGGGTGCGCCACCACCACCCAGCCTGTTTAAATTTTTTATTATTGTATTTGGGGTAGTAGTGTGGAGAGCAGGGGAAGCCCTGAGTGAATGAAATCCTGAGGGAATGTATAATTTTACATGGTGTGGCCTGTCAAGGACTCTAAAGACCAATGCCACAGCCATTAACCTATATGGGCCAGTCTCAGAGATACAGCAAAACTTTTCTCAAGAATCCCAGTATGAATGTTCATGGATTATTGATAAGTGTGAGCAAAGACACTGCAGCTTTTTGTTCCCAGATGCTTAGAGCCTGAGACTTCACCTGCAGAGACCTCCCGCTGAGATTAGCTAAACCTTCTCCTAGGACCCCTCCCCCCATCACAACTTCACTGTACATAGCTGTGTTTTCTTCTTTCCTTCACCACCCCCTAGCTAGAGTTCCCTGACTGAGGCGCCTAAGACTGGGGCAGGGGCCACAAAGCATGTTATAGCACATACGGAGGACAACTTCATGACATTGGGTATCTCTTTGCACCATAATTTGTTCCAGGAATTTGGCTTATACCTTCTCACCTGCCCCCTTCTGCCTATTTAAAATGAATGATACAGGGGCTGGAGAAAGGTGAGTCAGGCTGTCAAGAGCACCTCCTGCTCCTGAAGAGAACCCAGGTCAGTATGTAGCATCCATACAGTGGCTCAGCCACCTATAACTCCAGTTCCAAGAATCTAATGGCCCCTTCTGGTTTCCACTGACTCTCTTGTACACATGTGGCACATATACAGGCTCATACAAATACACATTTTTATTAAAAAGTACATTTTTATACTTTTGGTTGTGAGCCTAGCCTTTAACATGAAGCCATCTTTCTAGCCCTCCATTATGTTTTGTTTTGTTTTTAAGATTTTTTTTTATTTATTATGCATACAACACTCTGCTTCCAGAAGAGGGCACCAGATCTTATAACGGATGGTTGTGAGCCACCATGTGGTTGCTGGGAATTGAACAGTTAAGAGCAGTCAGTGCTCTTAACCTCTGAGCCATCTCTCCAGCCCCTCCATTATGTTTTTTAAAAGGGCTTGCTACAGTTAAACTGGCCTGGAACTCATGATCTCGCTGCTCCTGCTGTCAGTCCTGGGATTACAGGCATCCTGTGGTGCTCCCAGCATGCTGTGCCTCTTCATACCACGCATACTTGTTAACCCCTGTTGGTTTAGTGGACCTTAACTTTCCTGCTAAGATTTATACTCTTCTACTTCTTTGATCTCTCTACACTTACTGTATTGCAGTTAGGGTTTCAGAATGCTAATAAA